CTACAGGAAGCTGTTTAAATCAAACGCACTGTCGTTTGTCTGGACCGAGACCACATCCTCCTGCAGAGGGTCTGTTTGGTCCTCACCTGAGTGACACCACCGTGCTTACATCTACACAAATGAACAACGCCAGGGGGGAAATGGAGTTTTATTTAAATGAACGAAACATTTAAGTGTGGAAAAGCACGCCTACATGAACGAGGATTATTTTGTTCTCCAGCAGAGTCCACGGATAAAAATATGGAGCTGGACACGAGCAGAGGAGATCCACTTTAATAACATTCATAAGTTTGTGAGCAGCCACATGAAACACGATCTAACAGCTTTAGATTAACACGTCTCCAAGCCTGCCGGGAGCTGCAGGGCTCCAAATGTATCAGCAGCAAAACACGGAGAAAAATGTGAAGAGACAGCGCTTTGTCAAGGTCGCTTCAGACACATTTGTAAAAACCTAAACTGTAACACTCGTTATCGGTCCCTCTGACGCGATTCATCAGTGAGAAAGAGCCGATGTTCCCACGTTACCTTTGGCCAAATAAAGTCCCAGGAAGCCGGAGAAACCCACCACCGCCACACTGGGGTAGAGGTCAGGAGGAGGGTCACTGAGGAACTGGTACACGTCTGAAGGACAGAGTGACGGAGCTTTAAATGTAATGTTCAAACACAAACAGGCTGCCACACACGCCTTCGTTAAACAGCTGATGAAAGTGACGAGCGTTTCCTCACCTGTGACTGTCGTTACTGATGTGCCGATGACGGGCTCCACCCTCTGGTACACCTGCTGAGGTCCAAAGATCATCAGGAGGACCAAAAAAAAAGACACACAAGAGTTTGATAGTTTTGTTTTTAACAGCTATTTAACTCTTTAATTCAATTCACTTTCAGTATCAATATTTCTGTCAGGTGTTTTTGGATTATTCACTGTTTTTTCCTCACTTACACACGTTCACCTACAGAGCCGACGTTTGTACAGAGTTCTCCACGACATGCTGTTCTGACCTTTATATCCATGTTTCCTTTTAAAATTAGATTCTTTTATCATGTTTGTCTCGTTGTTTTCAGACATTTGTGTCATAATCTCTGGTATTTGTCAGATTGTAAGAAGTTACAAGGATCCAAGAAAAAGATACAATCCTAAACACGAGGCCCAAAGCCTCCTCAGGCTGGTTTTGGGTATATTTTTATCTCTCATAAGCAGAGATGGGCAGTAACGCGTTACTGTAA